ATGCGGTAAAATAATTTCTTGTTATACAAGACAAAAAACAATGTCATTATTGATTATTTAATTAATTGTGTCGTGTGTTTTTCGTATGTTTTAGATTGACCTTATCTGGCATTCTCATATGCAAGAGCCATTGAAATATGTAGCTGATTGTATTCGTCTTGTTGGCTATGTCAATAATCATTCTCCATGGCCACAAATTGACGATGATACTATGGAAAAATCATGTGATAAAACGAATGATATTTGGAAGAAAGAATTTGACTCTGATATAACAACAGATCATGTTTAAAATATAGTTGATCATGTAAATGACACTTAACATGTTCGATGAATTGAAACATTTTACTGATTAATTATGAATAGATTTCTATTTTATATAAATTCATTGCGACATGCTCAAGATCATTTTTTTTTCTGAATCATATCGAATTAATATTTATTTTCTTAGTGATTCTTGCATTGTTTTCTAATATTTATTAAATATTACTGTTGAAAAAAAACAGGAGCATCTTTATCCAATTACTCTATTTTTAATTATTAGGCTAATACACAGAATTTTTAATTATACTAGCCAAGTATAAAAAGTGCCCTTCATAGTCTTTGTCTTGAATCAAAATACGAATGAAGAAAAACATTATATAATGATTGAATTTTGCATTATTTCGATTTCATGAATAATTCTGATCTTAATTAGTCATTTTAAAGACATTAGTTTTAATATATTTCCATCGAATAAAATTCAATGATATTGAGTTTAGCGAATGTAAAACTCATGAGATCAATTATTTTCTTCTAAACCACTGATCATTGAACTTATTGGTCAGACAGTAACGAACTATTTTAGAGAGATGTGCTGATGTCATATATGTTGCTGGAAAATTATTTTCTTAGTTATTTTGTTTTTTTTTCCACAAAACTATGTAAATGAAGCTTGGGTTGACATTAAAAATTTCAAAAGTAAATTTTGCTGAGTCCATTACAACTTGAAAGCGATACATAAATCATTTTGAATTTAATTCGAGTAGATATATTCATTTATTAATACAGAAGGTGAACATGTGAACAATCTCCAAGAAAATGAAACAAAAACAAAACACAATGTTTATTGTATATACAGAAAGAGGAATAAATTTTTATGTTTCATTTATAGATGATAGTTCTGAAGGGTAATTTTAAAATTGCTCGTATATAAATAACAACTCGGTGTATCCATCTATAATTTAAAAAAACAACCAAACAGTTTTGCTGTTTTCTATTTAAAATCCAGTATACAAAATCACATGAAAATAATTTCCGCAAACATGAAATTAATGTATCAATATTTTCATTGATTCAAGCTTTTATATGAAGAAAAATATATGTAGAATGAAAATAAAATCCATTATTACTGTCATAGAACTCCAGATAAGATGATAACGTTTTATATTCATTTTGTTTTTCTCTTGCTACCTATAGTATACAAATTATTCATTCAAAACATTCGATTTTTGAATATCAAACGTTTAAACAGTGTAAAAGTCTTTGGAATAAGAGATCTGCGTGCCTATTCATAGTCACCACATGCTACATTCTGCCATTTCATA